GCTGGAGGAAGGCCCTGTGTGTAAAAGAAAAGAAACCATCTCTGACGATAAAGAACGATACATTAGATCCCCTAGAAGTAATGGTTAAAGTATGAGGGCCGTATACAGGGTTTTTCCAGATCTCACGAGTAGAAGTGCACACAACAACCTATATGGTCACGAAGGGAAGGAAGAGGCTCCACTAAGAGAGAAAATCGATTCATTACTTTGATGAGGCCCTCAGTGAAGAAGAAGATTAAATTAAAAACTGTTAAAATGTATAAAAATAACATGTATGTATTAGTGCCATTCGCATTAGTTGGACAAATTTGTTCTGTCCACGCCCCATTGGCAGTAGGCTTAAAGGAAGGTTCTCAAATTTGATTAACCCAGCCATTGTAGGGGCTTCCTTATTTTCTGAAGAGGACAATCCTTTTGTAAAGTTTTACCCTTTCCTGGATTTAATTCTTGGGCTTTTCTTTTCACATTACTCAGGAAAGAATCTACCATCATTAAGATGGAGAAGACTCGTGGCAGATGGAAGAGACAAGGTATCGATTGGCCAATCACAGGAGGCAAACTAAACAAAAAAAGGAACTGCTACAAGATATCCACAGGAAAGCTTACGACCACAGTTTTTCTGTAGCCTGTCGAAAGAAATATTCAGGTTAGTTATCATAGCAGTGCATTTCTTGGGCTTTTCTTTTCACATTACTCAGGCAAGAATCTACCATCAGCAAGATGGAGAAGACTCGTGGCAGATGGAAGAGACAAGGTATCGATTGGCCAATCACAGGAGGCAAACTAAACAAAAAAAGGAACTGCTACAAGATATCCACAGGAAAGCTTGCGACCACAGTTTTTCTGTAGCCTGTCGAAAGAAATATTCAGGTTAGTAATCATAGCAGTGCATTTCCTAGCTTTTTCTCCTCCTTATATCTTCAATACTCTATATTGTGTCAAGTTTAATATTGATATTCACAGATAGCCTGCAGTCACTCTGCCACAACTAAATTGATCAATTTTCTAAACTATTATTTTGGTAATATCTACATGTATATCAATCGGTATGAGCATTATTCTTTGGTATAGAAATGTGCTGCATAATTATTATTATTAATTGTTGTTGTTGTTGTGTTTTTTTTGTTTTTTTTGGGGGGGGGAGGGGGGGGGAGGGGTCAACAAATTTAACCATCTTCTCCCCCCCCCCCTTCTTGCAAGAAAGAGCCTTGCACATTTTTTATGTTATAATTTATCTGTAATATTTGTTAACAGCTGGTCAGACTCTCGCAGTTTGTGTAGCCAAGCCGATAAAGTCCACTGCAGCCTCCCTGCATAAAGACATCAAAGGTTACAACGAGAAGAAATTCTCATCGGGGGACCTGCCAGACACTCTGACTGAACAGGATGTGGTAGATCCTGAAGGCCCAATCTACAAACAAATTGAGGTGTGAAATATAAACTCATTATTTACTTCATTTATTTCCGCACTGTTTATTGACATCTAGATTTTCCACTGTATTTATATATTTATATTTGTATGTACATGTAAAGCACCTTTTAAATGTCCGAAGGCAAATTTTATGTATTTTTTACATGACAATAAATTATCTTATCTTATCTTATCTTATCTTATCTTGTATAAGATCAACAGTTCAAAGTTATGGGACAATGAATTTTTCCATGAAAGACTAAATCTTCAGATACCGTATACCTGATGCTAGGCATATCCAGTGGTGTAGTCATTTTTTAGCTTCAAGAATGTTTATTTATGACAGTACCTTGCTTTATAGAAAGTCACAGATTAATGTCAAAGCACATACATGTACCAGCTATTAAAATGAAGTTTACCATCAGTGTTTAACAAAATAAATCAGGAAGGTCGTATTCCTATCCATTGCCAGTATTTTATATGTCCATTCCATCATTGGCATGTAGATTGTTGTCAGTGTATGGCATTCTTCTGCTATTCATTTTAACATTTTACTACGTGATACCGTATGAGATTACATTACAGCTTGCAAATGGCGTCTCACTGAGTCCCGTTTTCGGAATTTGTTCTCCTCAAACAAATTTGGACTCGTCTTCGTAGTAGCGTTTTTTTAACAATAGTTTGCCAAATTATCCCTTGTAGCTTCTATCAAACACTCCATCGGTGGATAGAAAGGCTTTTTTCATGGAAAAATCAACGTCAAAATCGGCCGGTGGTAAAACCACTACAGGTTGTACCACCGCATCGGCAACCGCTTCCCAGGCCGCCACAGGCGGGGGTAAGCCAGCGGCTCAGTCCGCTACCTCTACGGGGGAGCGGAGCGATAAACCTGCAAAGGCTAACAGTGATAGCAAAACTGTCAAACACATTAATATTCCCTTCTGTTTGACCCACTTGCAGGGATCTGGATCAAGTCCCCTTCAGCGTAACGCTGTTGACCTCCTGAACAAGCAGGCAAGATGTAGGGAGGAGCAGTATGTCCTGGTGCGAGAAATGAGGCAGTTTCTGAATACTATGCGCAAACAACACCTCAACCTATCTAAATGTGTTGTCAACATGGGCAAGGAGGTGTCCAAGCAACAAAAAGGCTTAAGACACCTTATCTCAATCAAGCTGATGGTTATTGAGGGCCAGCTGCAGCATGATAGAGCTGCTGCATCATCTGCGCAGTATATTCCTCATGTGCAGTACGTTTCTGGCGTATATCAGAATTACGGCACAAACATGGATTTTTTTTCCCCAGGCAATCTGAGAATGCAGAGATACATGAAAGCACCTACTCGGATTACAAGAATGACTTGGGAGGATGCAGAGATTTCTGGGGCGGAGATTTCAGAGGATGAGGATTTCACTGATGAAACTTGACTCAAATTTTGTTTGTTTATTGTGTTCTCGATCCAAATGGAAATCTGCAAGCGAATGCAACGGAACGGAGAGAGGCAGAGCTCACGTTTGAAGCCCCACTTAACCTGTCCGCCCAACTGGAAGTGCCACCCACAACTGGACCAGCATTTACACAAGTGAGGAAAGTCCTTGCAGACGGCAGTAGATGCAGTGGAGGAGCTGAAGGCAGAGTATGGGGACACTCCAAAAGAGAACCCATTCGCCGCCTTCTACGAGAGGATGCAACGAAACAGAGAGACTGCGCAATATTAATCTTAAAATTAGAACTACCGTAAGTCTACAGGTAGCTCACAATAGCAGAGTCTAGTAGGAAGCAAAGAAAGGCAAATTGGGATGCAATCGAGAAACACTATCTTCTGGAATTATTAGCAGAAAGTGTAGAGGTCATCGAGAATAAGAAGAACGACTATGAGGCCAATGTGGCAAAGAACACTGAGTGGAGCCGCATCCACCTGATGTTCCAAGCTCGTCATGGACATAGGAGAGAATTAAAAGAGGTCAAGGAGCAATGGAAACGCATGAAGCTGGTGGCGAAGAACGAGTGGAGCATGTGGAGTTCGGGAAGGAGATTGACAGGGGGAGGACCAGCTCCTGAAACTCCTTCCACAATCACAAAATTTGTACATGAGTATAGAAACCATTACACAAGCATATTTTGGCGTTGATGTTGTTTTTGACATGTAGGAACTAACAATCTGAACAGGAATGTGTGGGATGCTGATGTAGAACATTATTGATTACCTTATAATACAGTGTGGGAACTATATCTATCAGCGTTAATCATTTGTAATGCTATTTTGCCCAGATGGGACTCTGAGGACCTTTATGCAAACAGCGTTTATTACAATATCAAACTGAACAATTTAGCATGCTCTTTGGTGAGAACTGTAAATTGTATCATACAGTGTAATTTGTTTGATAGATTAGAGGATTTATGTGAATATGGCTGACTGCATCTCAACGACTTTGGCAAAATTATATTTGTTGATGCTGTTATTTTGGCTATCAATAATTGTTTGTCACATCGTAGTAAGGTGACTGTATATGTTCTCCTGGAACTAAAAAAGATTTAGACTTTGAAGCCCCAGAGACCTGTATGGCGGCCACTTCGAGACTTGTTGGCCACTTTAGGCACTCTGTAATTGCCAGCAAGTCATTGAGTGCTAAGCAGGAGCAACATAACTTACCCAAGCACAAACTCATCCAGTCGGTGAAGACATGCTGGAATTCTGTGCACGAAATGTTTAAGCATGTCCACAAGCAGAAATGGGCAATCATGAGCGTCCTCGGACATGACCGGTTGACGCCCAAACAAGATGCTTCAACGTATGAACTAAAGGATGAACAATAGACGATCATCACAAAATGGTGAAAGTCCTGCAACTTCTTCAGGTAACTATTCCAACATGAAGAAAAAAAATTATTAATACTTCAATTCATCATTATTCAAAATGAGAAAGAAGACATAACAGGTAGGTTTGACTAGGGGCAAGAAATAGACATTTTGTCAAGGTCTAGGACTCTTACAGTGTGGAAGACAAAGAGAAGAGAGCGATACGTTCGATCAAAGAGGAGGCTCCTTAATTACCTGGCGTACAAGGGCTGAAGACTGCCTGTTAGATGAAGGTTAACTAGGATTTGTCATGATTGTATTAAGCAGGCTTTAGTATTCAAGTGAAACCAGTACAGTTGAAGTTGCTTTGTTACAGCAGTTTCAGGAAAAGTTTGTTCAAAGATATTGTACAGCTACAACAGGCCTGAATTTGTTTGTTGATTGGAGATGACTAGTCTTGACGAACCTAACATGGCATTGATGTGGATTAGCGTTTGTGAACTTTATCAGATTCACGCATCATGTGGAGGACGCCACAAATTTTTTACATGAACCCTGGACCAAAGGCAACACCTACATGTACATGTACAGTTGTACGTAACCATTACCCTATTTTGGAACATTATCTAAAACCAAAATTGTAAACCTAACACCATAAGGTCTGGAAAATACCATACCCTTAAGAAGTTCTTTGGCAAATTTAGTTTCCTTTACAATGAAAACTTCCCATGAAAGATACATGGAATAAATAATAACTAATTTAGCATATGAATATAATGAATATAAGAAGTGCTATTGGCAATAACGCAACTTGATGATCTAGATACTTTGTGAGAAGAAGTTTTTCTGAGTTGTTAAATACAGAATATTTACTATGGAATGATAAAATACTTAAGAAGTACACAACTATAATGATTTAAACCTAAATCAACATCAAACTCGGCTATTACTTCTCCAATTCCACTATTAATTGAATGATTTACTTTTTATGGCTGTCTGAATAACGTACATGTATATCAAAATCAATGAGTATCCAATACGTTAAATGTACGCAAACCTCAAGCCTTAGATTAAGAATGGACTCTGTAACTGCTCATGGGTCTGACCGGTCCCTGGCTGCACTGAATGATCTTTGATGGGTCTGACCGGTCCCTGGCTGTACTGAATGATCTTTGATGGGTCTGACCGGTCCCTGGCTGCACTGAATGATCTTTCATGGGTCTGACCGGTCCCTGGCTGCACTGAATGATCTTTGATGGGTAAGACCGGTCCCTGGCTGCACTGAATGATCTTTGATGGGTCTGACCAATCTGGAATGCTCGCTCAATCATGTGTCTTCCATCAAGAATCTGGAAACAGAAGGTTAAAGAACAGTCACGATTTAAATCATATTTTCTTCAAACTTCACCTGCCAGTTTTTTTAATATCAAGTTCATTTACTGCTTCTGGTTGACTACACAATGCCCTTTTTAAATTTCATTTTGAGGAATCATCAAGTAAGGATTTATTTATCTCACTCAGCAATTTTCCATCACAATCATGCCATACATACAACACATGCTCTGGCTTCAATTCCTTCATGGTCAATCCCTAAAACAAACCAAATTTGATCTTGACTATCCCTATGTAATGCCTGAACCTCAATACCAAACTTAACATAAACTCTAGTTGTAATCCTAAAACAAAAGCTTTGATGAAATTAAGCCACAAGCAAATGTCACCAGTGCTTTAAGAGAACAAAAAGTTAGAGTAACAATCAACACTTCTGAAGACAATGTCTAGAAATTCAGTCACATTACTGTTACAGAATATGATAACAGAATTTGCATATCAAATTTTCAAAAGGTAGTTTAAAGATACTACCGTATGTCCCTTTTGCAGCCAACATCAAATTCTGTAGAACTTTGCAGAAATTAGGAATATGTCATGTATGTCCTATCTGTACAATTTAAACGTTAGCAGTGTCCTAATATTCAAATTATGCAAGGAAACCTGTTTACTTGATAGACTTCACTGTCACACACTATTGAGTGACTGACTGGCTTTTCTCTTCTTTGGTAATAGCATACATAAAATGAGCTGTAAAGGGTACATGAGCATTTGTCTACATCAATAACCTACTTCTTGTAATGACCTAAATTAAAATGATTGAATCTTTGTGCAGCATAAAACGTACGACCATTCAGTACAATGGTCTGAAAATCAGACTATTACTTACTGGTTATATAGCTCTAAAGTCGATATGACAACTAATAGTCGTTATTTTCCCACTTAAAGACATTTTAAAGCCCTCTTTTTTTAGGGAAGTTCTCAATTCAAATGCCGTTGGAATTTAACTTCTTCATTTTTTGGGGCCTGCGAATGGGACATAGTACCTTTAAACTGGGTCTCATTTGTGGTACATGTACTTACAGCATAGGGCCTGAAACAGGAGTCCTCAGATTGCCCTCAGAATAGTTTGATGACCTCAAAGTGTTTCTTTAACGACCTGCTTTCGTCCCTGAAGTGTAGCGTGCTTTTGATGTCCGCTCCGTACTGCATCAGTTTGGATATGAACTGAAGGTGCTCTTCGCCTATGTGAGGACGCCCTTCGTCCTTCACTTGGTAGGGGGTGACATGAACATAGAAGGTAGCCTACACAGAAATAAAAGGATATGGTGAACATTCACTTGGTAGGGGGTGACATGAACATAGAAGGTAGCCTAAACAGAAATAAAAGAATATGGTGAACATTCACTTTCAACAAATTAGTCTTGAGCAGAGAATTGTGGTATTCATGCCATCTTAAAGAGCATTTAAAGGTATTACTGCATACATTTCAAGCGATATAAATAATGACTCCATCTGGTATTGTTGTGTTTGGGATCGGCGTGTGTGTAGTTACATTTTTTTTAATATAAAGAGGTACATGTACATCAATAAAGAGGTGCTGAGACTTTCTTTGAAGTGTAATATACAAGAGTATAGTTTATTAACTCTAAAATCGATAGTCACATACATGTAGACCAGTTGCAATATATATTCGCAAGATCTAGAGCAGCCAAAGTATAGGTGCTAGCTTGGTGATGGTCTGAACTCCTCCCCTCTGTCATGAAGGATGCCCACTCATTCTATTCCCAAGTTTATTCTCACTGTCATCTAGCTATTAAACACATGTAATCTGTTCTGGAAAGGGTCTTATCTAACAAAAGGGGCTTTAATTATTGGGAGGGAGACAGGAAGTCTTTTGTTTTGAAGGTTCTTATCAGAGGTATACAATTTGGGTATATTTGGCTGGGATTAAGTTATTAAACAAGTGTTCTGGAAGGGGGGTCTGGTTGGTGGGTCGTATCTGTATTGGGGCATACTGAGTGATATCACTGAGAGAGCATACCTGCCAACCTGAGACAAGAGAAATTAGGAGTAAATTTTTCTGGATGGACTACGAGGTCGCGAACCACTGAAGGATTGGGGTAGTAGCCCGTAGATTGGGGGGGGGGGGGTACACATGACTTTAGGGTCTATTTTTTTTCTCTCCATTTTAATGGTGCAAATAGGCCTTTTCCTTCAACCTTTTCGCCCCACACATAAACAATTTTTGAAACATCAAAATGTGAACACTCACAAAACCACATGTTTCACTACCCACCTCAGTTAGGAGCCCTATTTTGCAAAGGTAGAAAGATTCAGAATTACTGGCTACTGGAACCAACCAATCCAGCTGATGTACAAGGTTGATATTGGACGAGCCTTGTCCTTAATTTCGCTGAAAGCTTTATGTTTCTTTGAGTTCATGTGTTTCTGAATGTCATTCATTCCCCCATGGTTGATACTGAAGTCGGCCGAACACACAATGCAAAATGCGTGTTGAAGTCCGAGTGCTGATTCTGCAACTGGAAATTGTTTCCCGTATTCTTTCTTATACTTCTGATTATTAACAGCACGAGTCTTACCCATTTCGTCCTTCAAAAATGGAGAAATCAACGAAGAAGAAGAATATAGTAGTAGTAATCCAAAATAAATCTGAGGAAGTCCGGTAAATAACAAGCTTCCACGATCGCAGTCATCGCACAAGCATTGAAGAAAACACGCCAATGTACATGTACATGTATACAGTGTTTATATGCACGTGGGCTATACGCATGCAGTTACTATGCAATATCTTCTATGAGCGCGAGCGCGGATGTCGGCGTGATCTGGTTATCAGTGCTGTGTTATGCTTTAGTCTTATGCAACAGTCGTTTGTTTTAAAAATATTTTAAAATTAAAAAAAATCAGAGTTTTGAGGCATGCACTCGGAATTCGGAGTTGGTATGAAAAATGCGGAGGAACTCCGCCTAAATCGGGGTGGTTGGCAGGTATGAGAGGGGTGTAGCCTAGTACTACTTTTACATAACAGTATATTCAATTTCTAACTTCCAAGTACTAACATTGACATTTTGGTATGGCAGTATGTCTTGCAATAAAACGATAAGGAGTAACCCAAATACTATCATGAATATTGGCGAAGAAATCTCAACAAATAGCTCCTGAGAAAGTCCAAAATACCAGTTCAACATACTACTAAGTACATGTACAGTATGTTAATAATAACTGATGACGATGTTGATAGCTATATGAGATGATTGGTACTGCAAAATTGAAACATTCTGTCGGCACAATGTGGTAAGTGAACTGGAAGCTGCCTATATTCAGCTCACTAACCCAATGCTGTGAGTTATTCTAGCTAGCATCGCTACAACCTGTTGTCAGTAAACTGCTGGCTTGACATCTTTTTATGTGAGCCAATCACAGCTCATTAATCTTACACTTGTTTTTTTTTTTTTAGCTTTCGCTTATATCGTCTCATTTCGTCTCCCTGTTCATTCTTTCCATTTACTGTTATGTAACGGAAGTACAAGTCTACACCCCCTCAGTAATAGTATATGATTTCCCAGAACAGATTACATGTGTTAGCTACATGTAGATGAAAGTGAGAATGAACTTGGGAATATAACGAGTGTGCATCCCTCATGAAAGGGGAGAGGAGTTCAGACCATCACCAAGCTCAGTCACACCTAAGATCTTGGCTGCTTTACAACTTGTGAATATATATTGAATCTGAACTATGTGACTCATGGTTTTTAGAGTTAATGAATTATACTCATGTATACTACGCTTAAAGATACAAGTCTCACCACCTCTTTATTTATGTACCTCTCGATATTGCAATTACTACAAACACACCGATCCCAAACACAACATTACTCTGATTACTGCGATTAGGGCAAGACACAAATCTTTATCATGTCTGTTTTCATTGCTATTTAGCAAAATACTTGAATAGTAGGCCTATGAGTCACCACGATGTTGTACCTTGGACTTGCTTTGCTAATATTTCTGAAAATACCATCCTACCTTAAGTTTGGAGATCTCTCTTAAGACGTTGTCATCTGTAACATACGTTGGGATAGTCCCTACATGACCTCCATCGAGCCAATAGAGGGCCTCGATTCTTCTGATAAAGGCAAGTACGGCTTTGTTAGAGCATGCATCTTCTAGTTCATACATAAGCTGATTGAGAACTGTACAGCCTTTGCTGAAACCGATCAGCGTTAGTGATGACTCCGTCAAAATGTCTCCAATTGTACCTGCTTCAACCTTTATAGAAATCAAAAGGGATAATGAAAAAGAAAAACATGAAAAGTACACAAAAACTGAATTATTCAACTACATGTATCACTTGAATAATGCTAACACAGACCCAGCATTCATCAGAGCAAAACGCAACAATAAACCATAGTTTAAAAAACACAATGCATAATGTGATCTTTTTGATGATTCATATATTTCTTTCCCTGAAATGGAAAAAAAAACTTTAAAGTCAAAGAAGCTTTGCTAATAAATAGCGAGTGAGTTACATTCATAGTCCCCCCCCCCCCCCCAACCATGAGTACTACATGTTTGCCAAGCACAATTTTTTGTTCATGTACAATTGCTTGTCATTAATGATTCACAAAAGTGTAAGTTTATATTGTCGAGATTTTCATGCAAGTTTCTAAGACTATTTAAACTACTTACCATGGAATTGGGTGCCTGTTCTTCTCCAATGCTTTTCCAAGCATTTTGAAGTAAAAGTCTCAAGTGTTCCCAAGCATGATGACACTCAATGCTAACTGGTGACCCGAGGATGTCCATCTCCATGAAGTTGTCATAGCAACTGAAAGTCTCGTCCACTCGACGAAAAGGTGTGACCATCACTATCTGGGCATGAGGAAATCTCTGTTGTAATGTGCAGATGGTGCTCTCAAATGTCCATTCTTTCCATTTCTGATTAGCTTCGTGGTGCTTCAAGATCTTCTCAAAATTCTGTGAATTCAATCAAAGTCAAACCATACAAGTTTTTCAAGATTTATCATTAATCAGATGAAAATTTGCAAATCATCTGGGTATTTGCATGGTGATCACCACAGCTATTACATGTACTTTGAATTGCATAATGTTTGTAAACAGTGAATCATCACAAATTATTTTAAAGGGATTTTACCATGCATCCAACAGACCGGCCGAAAACTGTCGACGGTCGATTACCCCCTCCTTTACTATACCAGTAAAGGAGGGGTTTTTTAGGCCACTTAAGGCCAAATAAAAAAAAAACATGTTTAGCGTGCTGTTTTTTCGAAAAATAGGAAGGAGGAGGCCCTTTTTTTTCTTCTTTCAAAATGGCCGCTCAAAATTTTCCCTGACATTCAGGCTATTTTTCAAGATGGCGGCCGACATTTTTTAATTTTTTTTTTTAAAATCAGAAATAGATCCATTTTAGCAGTGTTTTTCACGTTTTTTTTCTTTACAATTTTTTTTTTTTTTTAAATAAAAAAAAAAAATTCAAAAAAATAGGAGGCGGCCCCCCAAAAGGAAGCGGGCGGGGACGCTAAACATGTATATTTTTTTTAAATGGCCTAAGACAAAATCCTATTTTTGGACTCTTTACTTCTTATTCATTATCATTTCTTGTTCAAATCATGAAGCAAATATTATAATTCCAGAAAAAATATCATGAATTGCCATGACAATATTCATTTCAGTTTTCACCGTTTCGGGGACAGTTATCGGCCTAGCGAGACAGTTTTCGGTCGCATGTACATGTACAACTACAAAGTCAATAACAACAAAAATAGCAACAAAAACAGACATAATATGCCAACTATTAAAGTTGAAATTCAAAGAAAATCACAAATATGTCAACTAATGTATCACTAGAAACTGGTAAGATAACAGATGGCCATCGGACAAGTTTTAGATCAACTACATATCGGGTGATTTATAAAAATACAAATACAACCCCCTTCATAGCAGCTGGGATATACGAGAGATTCGCCAGAAAAATAACGATGTTTTAATGACGTCACTATATGGACCAACACTGCCCAAGCAGACGACATCCCATAGAGAATGAACATAATTGCAAAGCTATTATTTCTCAAATTATAATGAGTTTAGTGTATATAAATGTAATGGCATGTCAAACCATTCAAAAGGGGATATGACGCGATTCTGATAACTACAATATTTTGCTTGTAAATACACAGGATAGGGGTTAATTAAAAATCAAAGATACCAGACTTTCAAATTGAAAAAAACCCGGAATGATATTAAGGACGGCATTTGTTCCCTCTTGAAACGCCGAACATACCCCGGTGTGTGCAGCTGAATATACAATGGCGTCTTATTTTGTTTACAAGCGACAGATTCCTTTATATTTGTATCGCTGCATTTGTCATCAAAATAAAACCATGCGCGGGGTTTAGAGTGAGGCAATAGATTATACATTTAGCCTGAGGGTAGTGAAGTAAGAGAAAGAGCCCAAGAGAAGATGAAAACACAGGCACTGAAAAAGTGTGAGATGTCATGGGACATCGTCTGCTTGTGCAAGTCATGTCCATACTGTGATCTCACACATCTCAGCAGCGTTCGGAGAGCTCTCCAGGTGCTATGCCGGGGCTGTATTTAAGCGTTTTGTAATTTATAATAATCATTACTTCGAATGTTTCCAAGCATTGAATTTTGATAACCTTGTCGAATCAAAGTTTCAACTTTGCAATAATGAAAATAAAGTTAGTTTTTAAAATCAATGAATATCTACTTTAAAGCTGTACATCTTGCCCTCAATGATTGATTGAACTTGAAGTAAAGACTAGGTCAAAGTGCAAGAATGTACAGAAAGCCAAAATCAGTCTAATTTCAGCTTTTTGTTCATTCTGCCTTTCTGCTGGCATGGCGCTGGCCATGGCAAGCGTTTCATGAAACTGTCAATTTTAAAGTTAAACGTGTGTATTAAATTTAACCTGCGTTTCAATGGAATGTTGGTAAAAATATCCAAGAGTAAAATAACGGTTTTGTGAAACGATGCCTTGCTCTCAAATCGAGTCGATTTCAATTTCCTAAAAAAGCTAATGGCCAGTGCAGCGCCAGCCCACGCCACGTGTGTTGAGGTCTTAAAGTGTAACATGGTCTTAAAGTGTAACACGACTCCCTAGCTCCTGAAAAAATAGTCCCTGTGTTAAACATGCGTACGTGGAGCTCGCAGACGCACTTTGTACTTTGAAACCTAGCTAGCTATAGCACATCAAACAGCTGCATTACTATCCTGGCCAGTGTATTAGAAACTCTTTTTAGGCCTACGTTTGTCAAGAGACGAGGACCCTTTTCTCTTTCTATATAATTCCTTTTTTTTATAATGACTTGTTTTCGTTTTTCACACTCAGGCAAATTTACAGGACCTATTATCTTAGGATCTGTGTTTTTCCTACTTTTTCCTTGCTTGTCAGCACCTCGCATCCTTACTGAAGTCATTCCCTGGGCCCTGCTTATTATTCCTACTTTTATCTATAATCTTTTTTTGACGCAAACCAATTCTCTTCCATCCCCTTCGTCTTAATACAATTTTATACCTTATATAGCAAAGATTTCGTTATATCACTGCTCTGCACAGCACTTGAAACACCGTCCTTTGCCATTTGCATTTTGTTTCATTCTTTCTACCTAATATTCTTCTCTTAATCTGTTTGCTGTACGTTTGCATTATCAGGTACTCCCAAATGTATGCATTTTGCTTGAACATCTACTTAATTGTCAGCGCTCACAAGGCATTAACATTTGTTTATCTTGGAGCACTGGCCAGTTCTGTTTAAAATATATTCATATTTCTTTATGTATGTTTTAGTGTATACTGATGTTTTTTTTGTATTCAGAACTGAAAATGAATAAAAGAAATAAAATAAAAAGAATAGTTTCCCTTCTTCTGTCGTCTTCCTTTCATTCATATTATTTCTTTTCCTTTCATTTCATTTTTTCTTTAATAAAACATTTCATGTTTCTTTTTTTTCGTAGTTCGTTTTTCCCATATTCTTTATTTCTTCCATTAATTTTTTTTTAATAATTATGTGTCTTCGTTTTTATTTAACTCTTTTTACTTTCTTTCTACCCGGCCCCCCCACTCAGAGGTCGGAATGACCGCATGCGTGTTGCCAAAATGTCCGGTAAAGGGGTACTTTTCGTGCGACAAAGTCCGGCCCGAGAATTGTAAAAAAAGGGGTGTATTTGACTTTTCACCCGGAGATTTCTTTAAAAAGGGGGTGTTTTTCTTTTTTTCTCTCATCTCTTTGGACTCCTGAGAAATTATTCCGAATTAAGGGGGGTACATTGAGCATTTTTCCTGATTTAGGGGGGTCTTCAAGGCAGGAAAAGCACGCGAAAAGCCCGCGAAAGGGGGGTTCGGAAATGTTGGCAGTCCTCAGATAGGGGGTGCTTTCAAAAAAAGGGCCGTACGAGCATATGCGTACCCTAAATAACACTGAGTGGGGGGGGGGGGGGCCGGGTCTTTCTATTCTTCCTTTTCTTTTCTATCTCATTTTCCCTCCTATATTGGCAACGTTTTGTGTATGGGATAAACAAAAAATACCTACTCATGGAACTATGTGCTCTGATCGGTCTTTAATCCCCTCTTTTTTAAGATGTTGAATTATTGCTGCCAACTAGCTAGTTAGCCCAATTTAAGCCTCGGTCACAAATGCCATTACGAACGATTTTCAGACAATGGAAATTCGAGAAGACAATGGAAAAACAGGGAGATTCGTACGAAATTATCGTTCGTACGAACCATTTGTGACCGTAGCATAAGCGAGAGCGAGCATTACACATACAATCATGTACAGCTAGCTAGCTACAGCTGTGCGTACGCGCCGCGCGCACGCAGCGACTATTTTTTCAGGAGGTAGGGAGTCGTGTTATTAAAGGGATCCGGTAACTTTGTCTCAGATTCTGAAACAAAATTCTGGATTTAGCTCATGATGCAATGATAATTATAAACCTTTAGGTCAGCCAGGACCCCCATGACTTTTACAAGCCGATCACCTGTCTGATTATCAAGATATTTATGATTGGAATTACAAATTTTGAAAAACGTTCGCCTGACGGTTTTCAAAACACTACAGTCTATTGGGGAAAACGAGTATGGTAAAACCGGTCACTCAAAGATTTTTTACTTTTTTGAGGCACTTCTTGATCATTTTGTAGCGCAATTTTTTTTAGGGCTTCAATATTACACCATATCACAGACACTGATAACATGTAGGGCCGTGTATCTCAGATTTAACATTGTTAAACGATCCCTTTAAGACCATGTTACACTTTAAGACCTCAACACACGTGCACACAATACGTACCTGTACATCACCAGGAAAAAACACCACGGTCTCAGCAGGTACGTTCGAGCCTCCGACCGGAAACTTCCGGGAACCAAACAACAACGTATTACGTCGCTCTTCAAATCCTTCCACTTTCTCAAGAACTTTCATTCTGTTCGTTTCAATTTCTCCAGATGCCATTCCGTCAATGAAGCTTCTAAACGTCGTACAATACAGTTTTGAAATTTTCGGATAAACGCAATGTTTCCAAAAACTGTGCGTAATGCCAACAAATGCATAATTTTAACGCAAGTTCCACGCGACGTCTTGACACTCGCAATACGTAACACGTTGTACTAGCGCGCTTTCAGATCAATATCAGCTAGCTACCAAAAACTTAGTCTTCCTCAAAGTCACTTGTTTAATTTCCGAGGTGGTAATGTAAGTCCAACCTTGGTTTCACCTTGATTGCTGTCATCTCCCTGACTTCACCTAAATAGAGGAAAGCAGAAAAATCAGTTTAACTCTTTGCCCGCCACGTTCGGCTAGCGGAACATACCGGTACAGCGGGCTGCCAACTTCGACTCAAGTCACATTTCATTCACAATACACACGGAACGCATTTAATTCTATTGTACGCACACACACACAATAGTAACGCGTGCTTCGCATTCATTGCACCGCTTTCGCAGACATTGTTTACATTGACATTTTCCGAGAAAAATTGAGTTTTTGAAACTGCTTTTGCAAATATTCTGATGAGCTAGGATGGCCCCTATTAGGAGGAGACGGGACTTCTTCACTGCTGATCAGGTACGAGAACTTGTGATGGACCCTGTTCCAACAGCCGACTCTGATTCAGAGGAGAGCGAGACTGACTCTGACGAGGAAGATGAGCCTGGTCCCACACGTACACTTTTGCGTAATCCCACAGAACATGATAATGGCGTGGACATCAATCACGATTCACTTTCTCTTTCTGCCTTTCTTTCTCTGTCTGCCTATCTGTCTTTCTCTCTCCGTGTTTCTTCTTATTTATATCCCTATCTGCCTATCTCTTTCTTCTTCCCCTCCCCCTCTATCTCTATCTTCTCACTCTCACTTTCTGTATCTGCTTATCTCTTTCTTTCTCTCTCTCTCTCTCTCTCTCTATCTCTCCCTGTCTCTTGTTATTTCTCTCCCTATCTGCCTGTCTCTTTCTTCCTCCCCTCTCTCTGCCTCTCTCTATCTTGTTCTCACTCTCATTATCTCAACCTGCCTCTGTCTTTCTCTGTCTGCCTATCTGTCTTTCTCTCTCCGTGTCTCTTCTTATTTATATCCCTATCTGCCTGTCTCTTTCTTCTTCCCCTCCCCCTCTATCTCTATCTTCTCACTCTCATTTTCTGTATCTGCTTATATCTCTTTCTTTCTCTCGCTCTCTCTATCTCTCCCTGTCTCTTCTTATTTCTTTCCCAATCTGCCTGTCTCTTCGTTCTTATTCTCTTTCTTTCTCTCTCCCTCTCTCTGTCTACCTCTTGTTATAATGAACATGTCAATATGAGACTACATATGTAGACGAATATATTTTATTCTTATTTATTATACATCAGCTTTCTACAATTCATAACTTGGTACATGTTTCAAGCATACATTATGTTCATGGCTTGCCTTATTAGTGTAGAAAATCAGTAAGTTCTTCTATTCATTTCTTTCAATTCTAATAGCTTGCACAGCCTTGCAAGTAATAATAGAATGTTACACCATCTTACCTACAGACACAATAAAGGTCATCAAAGTACAATCAAGAGACAGGAAGTCTATTCAAAAGTACCCAGGGTCAATTTCAATAGGAGATTAGTTCACTGTCGGCTTACTCTTTATTCAATCCTAAATTACCAGGCTCATTGTGACCTTCAACACATGAATTTGGTATGTAGTGAAAGCTCATGAATACATCTTTTCAATGAACTAACTCAGGACATAAACCTTCATAACAAAGTATTAGATATAAGAGGTATAGAATACCCTTCTAAACGAAAACTTGGATACAAAATGTATAGTTGATAATCTCAAAATTTATGATAATATACATTACAAAAATGATACCATTGGCAAGACTATTAATTTCTATACAATATTTCTACACAAAGTTTTTCATTACAGTACACCAATCAAAAGTTATTGCGAGTTGAATAAGCATAGTCCATGCAGAACCCCTCCTAAGGTGGCACCCTAAAAACAATGTGGCACAGGGGGGATTGTGTACGTGGCGGGCAAATAGTTAAAAAAAAAAAGGTGAACGTTCGAATAAAATTGGACAATTTGGGAAACACACAGGGGCGTACGCAGGCGGAGGGTTTTGGGGGTTCAAACCCCCCCCCCTTTGGTATTTTTATGTGTGTAAACCCCCCCCTAAAAAAAAACTAAACCCCCCCCCTTGGATATTTTTTTATATTTTTTTATTATTATTTTTAAAAAAAATAAAAAAAATATATATATATATACCCACGGCTAGCCTAAAAAAGGTGACCTTACCCCCCCCCCCCCCCCCAACGGAGAAAAATGTCAAATTTTCAAATTTCGAGACCAAAAAAAAAAAAAAAAAGTGTCCGACTGTAAATTTGGGAATTTCTAATTTTCCAACGAATCCATAAAAAAGGTATGCCTTACAAAAAACTGAGAAAAAATATGATAAATATAAATCTAGGTGGCATGCTTAATGTTTAGGAAATTTAATTCCTGTTAAGTTTCCTTTTCTTTGAATGGAAATTTATATGTGATTTATTTCAGTTTTTTATCATTGTTATGTTCTTTTGGGTTAAAAATACAAACCATCTTTACTCCTTTACTGCTTTTCTTCTTTCTTTTTTTGGAGGGGGGGGGGGCGTTTTGGTTGCAAAAATGCGTTTTGCCCCCCCCCCCCCCCCCCCACACACACACACACACACTTCCGGCGCCTATAGGTAGGCCTATGGGCTCTTTAAATTGGCTGAATAAGAACAACCATTTACAACGGATTGTACCCACACAGGCCTATGGGCATACTGAAATGCCAATTAAAGAAAATATATACAAAACTGGGATATTCCCGTTCAGTGGCTTTACCTGCCAATATTCGTACAACTTTACGACTATACGACTATAATAACAACAAAAATTTTTTTTTTTTTTTTAAATTTGATATTTCCAACTCCAATATAATACTTTTCAAACAGCCTTAACATAGACGGTTAAATATTTCTGATCATGTGAAGAACTCTCAACCAATCAAAAACCAATACATAATAATAACAACAAAAAACGGTGCTTTTAAAGCGCTTACTACCGAAGTCTCTAAGCGCTATTAAAAACAAAATACAATGATAAACAATTACATATGGCAAAACAAAAAGTGCAAATAAACCTACAAATTACAATACATATAAAATATGTATTATGTGAACAGAGTAAGTTAATCATCAAAAGGATTTTGTTTAACGTAGTGTATGAAATATGGAATTGATATCACCTAGCACCCATACTATCAAAGGCGCAGGAAGGGGGGGGGGGGGGGTAAAACGCATTTTGCCCCCCAAAAACGCCCCCCCCCCCCTCAAAAAAAAATGCAGAAAGGAGTAAAGATGGTTTGCATTTTCAACCCAAAAGAACATAACAATAATAAAAACCGGAATTAAATCACATTTAAAGAAAAGGAAAGTTAACAGGAATTCAATTTCCTAAACATTGCGCATGCGACCTATATTCATCAATGGAGGTTTTTATAATAGCAATACGGGCACATCGTGGACATAATTATGTGAGAGGGTGGGACTAGCGCGTGTTTTTTTTTGTTATAGGGGTAAGAAGACATGAGCACCTGAACGCTGGCGTACTGATGGGGAGGGGGGGGGGGTATTTCTTATTCGATACCAGTGATTTACAAATGTTGCTGAAATGACATGTTTTTCCGGTATTTTTTCTCAATTTTTGTGTAAGTCATAAACCTTTTTATGCGTTTGTTGGATTAGAAATTCCCAAATTTACAGTCGGGCAAAAAATATGACTATTTAGAAGCCTTCATGTCAGGGCCTGCAGAAACGGCTGGGCTCAGGGGCTCAAGCCCCCCTCACTTTTTGAAAAAGTATGTTAAGGAGGAAACGAAAGAAAAAAAGAGAGAAAAAATAAGTGACCTGCCAATGTCACAAAATGAGGTATACAAATATGCTCGTCTGACCGTAATTAAATGCCTAAAACCCATGAGCATACGGGGGCTCCGCCCCCGGACCCCACCAAGGGCCCTAAGGCTGGCCCCTGGATGCTCATTTGACCGTAATTAAATACCCAAAACCCCTGAGCTTCCGGGGGCTCTGCCCCCTGAACCCCACCATGGGCCCTAAGACGTGCCCCTGGATGCTCATCTGACCGTTATTAAATACCTAAAACCCCTGAGCTCCCGGGGGCTCTGCCCCCTGGACCCCACCAAAGGCCCTAAGGCTGGCCCCTGGATGCTCATTTGACCGTAATTAAATACCCAAAACCCCTGAGCTTCCGGGGGCTCTGCCCCCTGGACCCCACCAAGGGCCCTAAGACGTGCCCCTGGATGCTCATCTGACCGTTATTAAATACCTAAAACCCCTGAGCTCCCGGGGGCTCTGCCCCCTGGACCCCACCAAAGGCCCTAAGACGTGCCCCTGGATGCTCATCTGACTGTAATAATACCTAAAACTCCTGAGCTTGGGGGGGCTCTGCCCCCTGGACCCCCACCAAGGGCCCTAAGGCGGGCCCCTGGATGCTCATCTGACCGTAATTAAATACCTACAACCCTAAGCTTCCGGGCCACATAAATTGCCTTAAATAGGGCCCCTGGATGCTCATTTAACCATTATTAATACCTTTAAAAAACCTGAGCTTCCGGGGGCTCTGCCCCTGGACTCTCCGCCAATTAGTGACACAGTGTCACAAATAAGGTATCTAACGATGCTTATCTGACCGTAATTTAATGCCTAAAAACCCTGATCTTCCAGGGGTTCAGCCCCCTCACCCCCTGCCGGGGCTTCCAACTGTTTTTGTTCATTACGCCATTGCCCCTGGAAGGTGAGCCCCTGGAACGTTTCCCTCCCCTAATCCCAAACTGCTTCCGGCGCGCCTGCATACCATGTAATATGTATGTTTTATTTTAACTCTAATAGTTAATTGATTAGGATTGAGAGTATTCAGCCTTTTATGTTTGATCCCCGGGTTTAGTGGATTTGTGGATCGGGGGGGGGGGGGCAAAAGGACTTGCCTCCCAGGCTGTTGCCTCCCCCCCCCCCTCCTTCCCCCCAATCAAAAAATAAAAGAGAAGGGAGGAAAGGGAAAGAAAAAAGAAAAAGAG